GTTTAAAGTTGTATTTTTCTGTTAGCTATTTTACATGAACAAAATTTTAATATATAAGTATTTTTTCTATTATATTTTCTACTATACTTTTCCAGTTGAAAATGTATTGTAGGGCATGCAAAATGTTCATTCGAGCTGTTTGGATATTTGCTTTACTATTTCCCAAATGTTTTCTATGGGGTTAAGATCATGCGAATTGTCTGGCCATAGCAATACATCAACTAAGCCATAACAGTTTTTATTGTGTGGCATGTTGCACCATCTTGCATAAATATAAGATTTTTGACATTATTTTTAATATTTTTGAATTTTTTTGTCACTTTTTGACTTTTTTGGCTGGACATCAGTCCCTCTTCTTTTAGCCTTCTACAAATGGTCCGGTCTGACACAACAATTACAGCTTCATGGGTAAGCTTAGTCGCTTTTTTTCTCTTTTACAGGCAGATATTTCTGATTATACTGTCCGCTCTTGGTGTTTTTATTGCGTTTAGAAGGTGGTCTCCTTGGACCAAACTCTTTCCCTGTATCAATTCTTTTTCTTACTTGCATTACGGTTTGGTAGGAAACCTTTGCGGTTTGTGCAATTTTTCATTGAGAATAATTTGTATTTTGGAAAAGACATTTTAAACTTATTTTTATTTTAAGTAGGAAACCAATATATTCCTCCAGAAAGTTGATCACCAGATTGTCTTTCCAGAATAACTAACAAAGAATAACAAATCACCAGGGGCTAGACACCCCTTTGCCCCCCTCAGGACAGCCCTGGGGAACATGGGTGAAAGAATTTTTATTGCTTCAAATATTTTAGCTGCAAATCTTACTGATAGGCCAATAGTGAATACTTAAGTTTCCATTTCTAATGATAGTATTGGTGTTAAAACTGCTCCTGCCATTTCACCATCAACATCATTTAATTTATGAGAAAGGGCTCCTGTGAGTTTACCATCAATATTATTTATTGTTTTACCTAAATAATACGAACTAATTCCAAAGCCAGGTTAAGAATAACAACTAATACAAAAAAACACATAATAGGTGTAAAAGAAAATTGCATATTTTAACTGATACACCTAAAATAACAAAACAGAATATCTTTTAGTTTTTAAATGATGAAAGTTCTGATGAAATTTATTATAGAGTAAATATACTTACTTTAAGTAAAATTTTTCCGAGTTTTTTAATCATCAAGTTGGCCGAAATAAAATAGATAAAGCTAGATAGAGCCTAGATAAAGCCTAGAGGCTTTATTTAGCAGAAGTTATAGAAGTTGTTGGTGTAGTTTACAAAATTAAGTATTATAAGAAATCAGGAGACATTTGTAATAAATTTATATGAGACGATGACGATTTTACCATTCTACAGAATTTAAATATACATTATTTCTTCTAAGGCTTGTTTCTAATAATAAAAATTAATTTTTAGTTTAACAGGTGTTTCGTTTTTTTTATATTTAGTGTATGACAGCATGCAACCTTAATCAAACTTTTAGCCTGACAAAGTGTCTCATAACTTGTAAAGTATGTTGAACTTTTTGTTTAAAAATAAAGTTTTTTTATTAGCTTTTTTCAGAACTTTTTATTGATTAATTTCTCTACTTTGTGTAAAAATTTCTTTATAAAGTCTTTATGATATTTGAAAAAAAAACTTTTATAGCAATTTTTGTAGGAGTCTTCAGAACTTTTATAAAAATATTATTATTTTTGTAAAATTTTTTTTTAAAAGTACATAAAAATTAAAGGAATTTTTTCCTCATTAAATTCTATTTTAGAATTATAATTTGTGTGAACTTGGTTGTTTATTCTACAGTCATATTAAAGAAAATGACACTGGTAAATATAAAAAGTTTGATACTATTTTTACTTAGTTTTAGCAATTTTAAATGTAACTGTAATAATAATAACAATGTATAATGCAGGTTGTTGACCAACGGTTTATAATCAAAATTTAATATGGCTGGCGGTAAAGGTAAAGAGAAGTTTAAAGGAACAAACATTAGGTATTTACTTGTAAGTTAAGTGTAAAATTATATATTTTTTAAAAATCACAGTTGGTTTTTTTAATGCTATTTTATTTTTAACTTTTTGATGTATTTGATGCAAATTACTCAGGCAATACCTTTTTTATAGAGAGCGTTTTGTCAATTAAAGTGACTGCTACAGTTACCGAAATAAGAAAAGGAATTATGACTTTATTAAAATACGCACTCGACAGATCAAATGGTGGTGATCGCCGCGTAAAAGGCAATTCACCCGATGTATAACATTCATACTTTTTCCTAGTTGTTCTGGAACTATTGATAATAGTTATTATTGATAAATTGATAAATATATTACTGATAAATAAAACTTTTTTTTTTCAAACATTTTACTTTATTTGCATTGCATATAAAATCCGTTGAAGCAATTTAGTTGTATCGGATTAATTTACGTGAAATATAATATCCTCTGCGCAAATTATTGCTTTTTTATTGTATTATTTTATTGCAATTAAAGTTGAGATAATTTTTTAGTTAATTGGATTTAACCAAAATAAAAGACAAAAATCAACGTTGAATTTACGTTGTTTTTATAAGGTTTTGAATTTGACAATTTAACAATAATACATGGCTTAACTTGTGATGCAGTTAGTTAGGTAAATATTAAACGGATATTTCTTTATGAGCGTATTATTTCATGAGTGTGGATTACAAGTAGAGACTACTTGATATATTATATAAGTATAAAATATATATTATATATGTTTTTCTTATTTATATAATATATATATATATATATATATATATATATATATATATATATATATATATATATATATATATATATATATATATATACATATATATATATATATATATATATATATATATATATATATATATATATATATATATATATATATATATATATATATATATTTATATATATATATATATATATATATATTATATATATATACATACGTATACGTTTGATTGTTGATAACAAATAAAAAATCTCAAATCTAAAACGTCACCATGTTAAATCCTTTTGATATTTTGATAAAACAGCTGTTAGAAAATACGCATTTGACCCTAATAATGAACAAATATTTATTATCTTTTTTAAGGTATAATATTTAAGCAAATAGTTTATAAAGACGAATATCAGTGTTTTTAATTTTCTAATAGAACAAAAAAACATCATAATATTAAAACATTTATTTTAAGTAAGGAAAAATTAATAAAAAAATTTAGATTAATATGTATGCAAAATAACAAAAGTCAATGTTGTCCCTAAAACGTCATTGAAGGAATAATTTCCAAAATACTGAAATTTAATTCGATCTTTAATTTCAAAATCGTAAACTTCGTTTATTTGCCTTGAATCATAATATCCCTGTGTCATATGATGACATCGGGAAACCTCAACATCATTGACAATAATACTAACATATCCAGTTGAAGAGGTGTATGCAATGTATTTCATAGATATTTGTACTAGGCATTTCTTAAGTAAAGTATAGGTACTTATACCATCATACTGAAAATGTGTTTCTAAATCTTTTTTCAAACCATTCCAATTAAAATATCCTCCGTTTGAAACACTACTACTACATGCAGTTTTAAGATAAAGTGGAAATTGAGCAAACTCTAATTTGGCTTTTTCTTGAGTTTTTTTTTCGTACTCTTTGTCGATGAGTTTTTGCACTTTTTTCCCTAACTCCGGCAATCCATAAAATTGAGCATCACATTTTAACATTTTAAGTAGTCCTGGGTCATTTATTTGTGAAAATAATTTTCCGTATGTTAAATACTCCAAAACAAAACGAAACGTGTGAGGATCTCTGGGGATAAAGATCTTAGAGGGAGCATCGGTCAGTTTTTTTTCTTTTGTCCATTCAAACACGTGAAAATAGCTATTAGAATGCGACAGTAAAACGTCAAAAGTTGTTTCAAAATTACAATTTCCTACTTGAACCGACACCCGTTGATTTTTCTCAAAATGATTTGAAAATATATTGTCTAGATAATCTTCACGTACTTTTAATTGCGCTTCTTTTTCATTTAGAGAAGTTTCTCTTTCATCCAATTCCTTTCCTTTAGTTTCCAATGCTTTAGATAATGCCGTAGACACCTCTTTACTGAAGTTGGAAATAACTTTAGACCCAGACATTTTCAACTTTGTATTATTCTGAAAATAAACTTGTTGATTAACTTTCCAATACGTTTTCTAAAATATATTTTATATCAGGTATAACGAATTTGAATATAAATACAATAAATAAACGATAATTATTTACTTTATTTGGTTGGTTAAAGTTTATTCAAAAGATAAATTAAAGTTGTGAGAAAATATTTTTGATCAAATATCTTGTTCCCTAATTTTAGCATTCTAAACAAAAGTCAGAGATACCAATCAAAAATATATATTTTTTAAAAGTATGGAAAAAGTATACTAAAAGTTCAATAATTAAATATTATATTTTTTGCATAAAACTATTCTATATATAAAAATACGAGTGTAAATCCATTTTTAAAAAACCTGTAAAACCATGATTAAACTCTTTCCTAAATATCTCCGACGGAGATTGTTGAATTATCAAGCAAAGTTGTGTTAGGGTTGTCGTTAGATTACGTAACGCTAAATTTTACTAATAAACGAATACAAAAAGGTTTTAAAATAAGAGTATTTATAAATGGTTTCGCTAACTCTAAGTTCGCCGAACAATTTTACGTAATCTTTTTTTTGTTTTAAGGAATTGTTGTTTAATTATTATCTAAATATGCTTTAAAATACAACCAAACGGTCAAACATTACTTGGTTTTTAACCACCTGAAATTATTTGAAAGACGTATTATAGCAATATGTTTTTCTTTAAACGTTAAAAACTACGTCTTAGTTTACTTAATAAAAAATGTTTCTAAACATGAATCAACAATTAAGTATATAAAGTTTAAATTAAGAAGTTTCTATAAATAAACTATTTTATAATAAACTTCAATCTTTCAGTTTTTCTTTTTATAATAAACTTTCAGTTATAATAAACTTTCAGTTTCAGTTTTTCTTTTTATAATAAACTTCAATCTTTTCAGTTTTTACACATTAACACATCCTATATTATAGGATCCTATATTATAGGATTAACACATAAGCAAAGCTGGAATACCCATATAGTTAGGGTTTACAAACATTTGGTATGTCAACTAGTTTTTTAATGTGTTGTTCTTAAAGAACGTTGTTTATTACATATTAATTTAAAATATTTATTTTCAGACGAAAAAGAAACATGTGAACAATTTCTATCTATATATACGTGTTCAAGTGCCAGCGAAACGGACAATAAAAAAGAAAAAGCATTAAGTAAGCTTGAAATTTTTTTAAATGTTTTTAAATAATCTGAATAATTTTGTTGTTTGTATTTAGTTAAACGATGAAATTATGACAAAAGATTCGCTCTTTATCTTTTATGTTAAAGTTGTTATTTCCTTGTTAACTGTTGTCTGTCATTAACAAAGCAAGTGAAAAATGTACATAATGACAACTGTGCTCTCGTTTGCCAGTCCCACCAAAATTGTTTTCAGAAAAAGTTGACTTTTTCTTCATCTTCTGTTTCAGATATAGGTGCGTTTATTTTTAATCAATTTATTGATATAAATAACTAATAGATGCATATTTCTCTTGCAAAGTCTCACAATATAAACGTGGTAAAACAAAGACTTTTTACAGTAATGTTATCAATTACTTTAAATGAAATTTTAAAAAACTAAATTCAGAGAAAACACAGCCAACATGGATCCAGAGGAACCGCTCAAGATTATGCTTGTCTATCCCAAAGCGTCCACATTCTACTATTAGTAAGTCAAATTTTGTTATGCAAGACAAAATTATCTAATCATATCTATCAATTATATAATTATATCAATTATCTAATTTGTTGACTTACTCATCACAGTGAAAATGTTTTTTTGTGATTCAAAATTTTTGCTTTTGTTTAAGGTTGTGAATCGTCATCTTCTTGTAAAAGACCGCAATTGAGCCTTGCAGCATCAGACCAGCTTAGTAGTAAGCTCAGAAACATTTCATCTTTAATGCAATGATGTAGAAATCCATTAAATTTTTTTTGTGTTTCGCACCTCTTTTAGAAAAGGGTTGTATCTCCAAAATGCAATTAAAAAATTTGTATTGTCTGATGCTTCTTTTTTATAATGGGTGCAATTTAATTATGTTTAAATGTTGTATTTAGAATCTGACAATAAAAGTACTATACCATCAGCAAAAGAATCATTGGCTTGGCGGTTAGTCTTATTAAATCCCATGTTTCTTTGAAACCATTTGCAATGTGATTTGTTTGCTGTAAACTTGACTCATCATGTTATTTTTTATATTTTATGTTGTTCAAAAACTTCTTACTTTAGTCAATTTTATATTATTAACTGATAGACCTTAATACAATACAAGGGTTGAATTAAGAGAGCGAATTACAATTTTTGTAAAAATATCTGGTCTTTAAAGTTTCAGTTTATGGAAAACCATGAATTTATGGAAGGGGCTTTAATTTGTTAGGTGAACTAGCTAATATATATATATATATATATATATATATATATATATATATATATATATATATATATATATATATATATATATATATATATATATATATATATATATATATATATATATATATATATATATATATATATATATATATATATATATATATATATACATATGTATACATATATATACAAGTTACTTTTAGCCCAATAAAAACAAGTAAAGTCACACATGCTAATAAATTAGGTCATCTGTTGCCTTTTTATAAGGTTTTGAATTTGACAATTTAACAATAATACATGGCTTAACTTGTGATGCAGTTAGTTAGGTAAATATTAAACGGATATTTCTTTATGACCGTATTATTTCTTTATGACCGTATTATTTATATTATATATGTTTTTCTTATTTATATAATATATATATATATATATATATATATATATATATATATATATATATATATATATACATATATATATATATATATATATATATATATATATATATATATATATATATATATATATATATATATATATATATATATATATATATATATATATATATATATTATATAAATAAGAAAAACATATATAATATATATTTTATACTTATATAATATATCAAGTAGTCTCTACTTGTAATCCACACTCATGAAATAATACGGTCATAAAGAAATATCCGTTTAATATTTACCTAACTAACTGCATCACAAGTTAAGCCATGTATTATTGTTAAATTGTCAAATTCAAATCCTTATAAAAAGGCAACAGATGACCTAATTTATTAGCATGTGTGACTTTACTTGTTTTTATTGGGCTAAAAGTAACTTGTTGAGTCTTTATTTGTTATTTGTTATGTTGATAAAAAAATTTAAGTCACGCATGCGTATTTTAGTTCTCATATTGCAATTACGAACGATCGAACTCGTAATATAGACGTTGAATTAACGTGGAATCAACGTCGATTTTATTTGATAGTATTAAACAAATTTTTCAACGTTGATACAACGTTGGTTTTTGGTTATACGACGTCGCGACTAAAAATCAACTGTAAATCAACGTCGAAATAACGTCGTGTGCCCACTGCATTCAACGATGCAACAGTTAACTGTTCTTCGAATAATGAATTTAAACGAATCCTTGACAGTTTCATTGATAGTTGCCTATAGACATTATATGACTTTAGTAGGACCTTTTTCTTAGAGATGTGGATATTTTTAGTCAAGTATTAAATATCAAAAAAGATAAGGTACACCAGTCCCTTTGTGTAATAAAAAATAAAAATATTTTGGTAAAGATTTTATCAGCTTTGATAAGCTACACAGAGACAGTTCTCAAAAGACAGATGGCCAGGTATTTGACTGGCAATCTCTCAAATCCATCTAAAGAAATGATAAAAACCACACTATCTGCTCCAACTCATACAATGGAGGCTGAAAGAATCTTGGGCATGCTTGATTTTTTTTGCTTCGTCCTCCTAATGCTACTTTTGGTTTTCTGGATTCTAAAATAAAAGCCAGGGTAAACAAAACATTAACATAGCTTGATGAGAAAACATTGCCAGAACAAGAAGATCTTATTCAATTTGCAATTTGCAGAGGAGCTTTAACGTGTCAAGCCTCTAAAAATTTTAATAATCTTTTGTATGAAGAAACAGGAAAAAGATGAGCGCCAAAGCTAATTTAAAAAAAAAAGAACGTCTGGAAAGATAGCAACTCGAGAAGGATATTAAAAAAGCAATAACTGAAAATGCCAAAACCACAAATCCTCTTTTTGTTAATATTGATGAAAAACAAAAACAAATTTTAGGAGTAATTTTGAAAAATGGAAACTTGATAGGGCAGCTCTTAAGCCATAAGTGGGAGCTAGATGATGGTAATATACATTTACTTTTTGGTAGAATTGTTGATCAAAAGGTAGTAACAAAAAAAAAATCTATTACCTACACAATAGGATATTGGAAAGTAAATGAAGATGAAGCTGAAGATATTGACATAAGCCAGGAAGGAGTTATAGCAGATCTAATACTTGAAGACTTGGAGTTCATTTAAAAATTACTATAATATATTAGGCATCCCAATAAGAAAAATGACGTCGGAACAACGTTATTCTAACGTCTTTCGTATCGTTGGAAAGACGTTGGCATGATGTTATAAATGAAACACCGAAAAAACGTCATTTTACTAACGTTATTACAACGATGTAAAAAGACGTGGTGACAACGTTACATTTTAGCTAAATGACGTCGGAAAGACATTAGAGCAACGTTAAATTTGAAGAAAAAAGACGTTATAAGGACGTTAGGCTAACGTTATATTTTAGCTAAAATGACGTTGAGCCAACGTCTTTTCTATCGTTTTATACACGTTGGAATAATGGCATATGCCATTATTCCAACGTATTAAAAAAAAAAAAAAAAAAAAAAAAAAAATTTTTCTAAGAGTTTTTCCCCCTTAATATAACGTTGACCTATGTTTCATATATGCGCATATATGAAACATAGGTCAACGTTATATTAAAAATGTTGCGAAACGTTGTAAGAAAAACGCCCTCCAACGTTTTTCTATCATTTTTGATGTTATTTCTACACTGCAAAAAACAATATAGGACAATTTTACACTGTATAACTTTGCGCAGTCAAGCTATATTTCTTTTTATTTATTTAGGTTATACACGATTATTATATTAGTCCGGGCAAATAATTGAATACGGAAATTAAAAGACTAAAAATAAATAAACATTGCATCACTTCTATTTCAAAATTTTAAAATTATATACAATAACTTAGAATGAAACTAGTTTGATTTTTACTTTCTTTGCAAATTTCAATCATAGCTCAAATAATTCGCGTAATCTTTGTTTGACACTAGAAGACAAATATATATGAAGAACCATAAAGTTACAAACAAATCCAATTAAAAGCATTTTTAAGAACTAAATAAAAAACATTCGGAATGAACAAATAGAAATACCACAAATACCAGAAATTGCGCTAACTTTTTATTTCATGCTAACCTGAATTTTTCTGCTTTCGAAAGATTATCAACTGTAAATCGTTTAGCAACCTTATCTGAAATAGAATAATCAATACCTCAATAAAATGCAAAACTAATGAAATTGCCTCCAAAATAATTTTAATTGAATAAATAAACAAAATTAATTTAAAACACACAATCATGAAATAATGGAAAAAAAATATGTCTAGCTTTACCCTCAAAAGATATAAAATATCTTTGAGTTCAGATTTCTGGAAAGTTATTTTTTTACAAGTGTTATTATGACAATACATTTTTTTATAACATGAATTGCATGGTAAATAAAGAAACTGAAATGGTACATTTTCACTAAGCAAAGAATCAAAAATTGTTTTAATAAATAGCTCTCTTTAAGACTAATGATTACTTTGTTAGGTGTTTTTTCTTCTAATCGGAACTACTTATATTTCGCTTAAACCCTTGACTATTTGAGCAAGTGGCATCTTCTTACCAAAGCCAATAATTTTTTAAATAAAAAGGCAGACATATCAAGAAGCAATCATTCAGAAAACTATAAAAAATGAATAAGGTTATGTAAATTGTATGTTATGAATGTTGGACCATAATAATCCACAGCCTTAATAATCCAGTCATCCAAACCAATTTAATAGCATCAATGCATAACCAATGCATTGATTCTGCTAATTTTATTTGTATCTTCAGAGCACACAGATCAGTATACAAAAGAAATTAAGTGTATAGCCTTTTTTTTTTTAAAACTCCACCTGTGATCTAGACTTTCTGTTTTTAACAAAATCAGATAGTTTTTTACCATCTGATTTTGTTAAAAGTCATGAGACTTTTCAGAAATATGATTAATTTGAACATATGACAAATAACATACCTCTGGCTCCGTTTTTTCAAAATATCAATAATTGATGGACAATACCAAAACAAACTATATAATATAAACTAGATGATATATTATATAAACTAGATGTCAAACTTGAGGTCCTTTATTGAAGTGGTCGCTTTTTTTGCTTAAAAATATAATTTGCCATTTGTAAAAAGTGTTTAAAGCTGAAACAAATGTGTGGAATAAAAATTCGAGTCAAAATTAACCAATAAATTAAAAACATGTTATAATAAATATAAAGTACTTATCAAGGTTTATTTAAGGTTTATTTCTATTTTAAATTTAAATCCCTTTTAAATTGAAAATAAATTTAGAAATCATAAATTATTACTTTACAAGTAATAATTTCACTCTAATTTCCTCTAAACACTTTTACATATATAGATTACATATATAGATTTAAAATATATTACATATATAAAAATATATTTACTTCATATATAAAAAAATAGTTAAATAGTATTTGTTTACAAATTTATTCTGTAATTTGTAAAAAAGACATTAGGGGCTTCACTTTTTGGATTGAAGTAAGACAACTAGTTTATATAAAATATCATTGGTTAATACACATGTGATCATTAAGGAGCATACTTTTAATATCAATGGCTAGATGTGAAAACCAAGATAAACGTAATTACAATAATTTTTCAGTATTCACATGATTAGGTGTTTTAGTAACATTTATTTCCTATGCCCATGTTGCTGCATTCAAACAAGCAAAGTATATATTGATTATAATTATATAAATGTGCAACTAAGTGTTTAACTGGCCATTGAACAAGGTAAAAAATTAAAAATCAGGACAAATATCAAAGGGTTTACTAAATGAGCACTTTTTATAGAGAGTTTAGTAAAATACAACATAGAATCACTTTCAAAAATATAAAAACTATTGGAATAGGCTTAAAGAAAAAATCACTGATTAAACTTCAATAATTACCATATTTTGACAATTTTCATAATTCAAATTAGCATTTTTTAACTTTTAAGAAATGAACTTTTATAATAAAAATACTTCAAAATGTTCTGTTGATATCATTTTTATAGCCATTTGTATTAATTTGCTAATGTGTTATATAAATATTTACATGCAATATGTATACTCATTTAAAGTAATATTAAAATAATAATTAACAAAATCTTTGCATTTACTCATAATGCCTTCAATGTTCTGAATATACATAAAACAAATAAAAATATAAATGAAGAAATACAAAAGTTACCTCTGAATTAAGTCCTTAACATATTTTGGTAACTTTCCGCCAACACGTGAGAGTTGGCCTAAAAAAGAAAAAAATATAAAAAAGGCACATTGAAGTGTTTTACACATAAGATCTTATTTAAATATTTTTTACTGCATTCACCAAGGTCAAGCCTTAAAGACGCAAACTTATTTAATAAACAGTTAGAACTGAATAAGTATTTTGCCATGATTCAATCAGAGCAATCATGGCAAACTCATAAATATAAAACAAATTAATTCACTCAATTTTGTAACATAAATTAAATTTTAAAACATTAGAATTATTCAATGTTGCTTTTTCACAATTTTGTTAGGCTGAAACCAAAAAATAGGGATCTAAATTTTAAAAAATGTTTAAAAATATTTATAGGCTGAATAAATAGGATGACATAATTTGTAACAGCAAATGATTTAGATTCATTTTAATAAAGTGATTGTAACTTTTTTGCTGTTTCAAAAGCTGGGCGTTAAAATATATTGTCCAGGTTTTGTTCTCTAAATCATGTTAAACATATTGAAATCAAACTCACAAACTGTTGAACAAAACCTTTGTTAACAATTCTTAGTGTAAACTTGTTCCAATATTCTATTGTTAAGTTTAAGTTTAAGATTAAATAATGCGATTATGTATATTTAAGTCAACTTGTTCTGATTTTAAACACCTTGATAACTTAGTACTTTAACTCTGCACATAAAAAATAATAACGTTCAAAAAATATATATTTTAACTTGGCATGAGTTTTATTAAAATATAAGATTAATTAGTTTTTCAGTTAGAAAGATAAGAGAATAAGTAAATGATAGTACTATGACAATATATATATATATATATATATATATATATATATATATATATATATATATATATATATATATATATATATATATATATATATATATATATATATATATATATATATATATATATGTATGTATATATATATATATATATATATATATATATATATATATATATATATATGTATATATAAATATATATATATATATATATATATATATATATATATATATATATATATATATATATATATATATATATATATATATATATATATATATATATATATATATATATATATATATATATATATATATATATATATATATGTATTTTGGTATAACATATCAATTTTAAAAACTATATCATATCACATATCATATACAAAAACTACACACAAATATATTTGACATGTACTTTATTGAAATACTTAGGAGTTATTGAGTTGAGAGGGGGTTATAACCACAATTGAAATAAAAAGGAGCCTCCTCAATTGCAGCACCCTTTATGGCCTTTATGGCCAAAATCAGCTCTTTCTTTCAACTCTGTAATTAGGGAAACATAAGATTGCGATTCATTTTGAAAATTAAACACTGACTGAGTGTATATCATCTAACACTTTGTGTGTATTGATTTAAATAAATATTTTGTTTATTATGACTAAGATCTAGTGTAAAATTTAGATGTTCTGTTGCTGTTTCTGTAGGATATGTTTTTCTCTTGCTTCATAGTGAGAAGTTATGAGTTCTATCCTTACCATGTTTCTGGTAGTAACCCGGAGGTGAATAGCAATAAAAAAAAAAAAAAAAAATGAAAATAACTTAATACAAATACATAAAAAATTGTTTACCCTTTTTTGTGACTTGAGACTCAGACTTATGAGAGTCAGTGTTAGTTATAATATTGTAGGAATAGCATGATATGATTATACCAATATACAAATTCGTAAAAGAAACACATTACACAAGTTATAAGAAGCTTATTAGGTAATTTCTAGTTTAGTTCCACAACAAACTAAAAAACTTTTCATTCAAATAAATAAAATATATATTATGATTAAGACATTGTCTTAATATAACTTAACTGTCTTAAATTTTTACTTAATATATTATGTATATTAAGTAAAAACCTTTTTTTAATACAACTTACAAATGTCTTAGACAACTGAATTGAACGTCTTAAAAAAAAAGGCTCTGTATTTTTATTGGCATTTCATTAAACTGTTTTATCGTCGCGTCCATTTAATTTAATGTTTATAATCTATAGCTTTATATATTCTTTCTAGCCACCTATACAAAAATCTTTTCTCTATATATATTAAATTAAAAAGTCCCAGAATATACTGTTAATTACAGTTGAAATAACTTACGTAGATGCGTGACTTTCAACACGCATCTACGTGATTTCTAACACGTACAATTAACCAACATAGTAATAGAACATGCCCTCTTGGTGAATTAACTCATAAGTGGGGGCTTTACTGTTCGTCCGGAGCGTGTTACTTGCAGCACGTTGAGTTCTTGAAAATCATTTTGAACTTGAGCGACATCATCATTATAACTTCCTTTAACGTTATCAGTTTTATCGTTTAGTCTCGTTGACTGATTCATTTGAACTCTGTACGTCTGTACGGCGACGCAGGTGTGAAATGTGACGCGGATATACCCGATTCGCAGTTTCCACGTCAAACGACAAAGTATTTTGCTTTCGTACTACGCCTGATATCCACGGCTGGTCACATTTTGTTTCTTGAGTTGGTTTTACCCAAACATTGTCACCCACTTTGAATTTCTTGCTTACGCCTTTCTCGTCTACCTTCCTCCGAGTATCGACGCCTGGGATGAAACATGTCGATCTTTTCTTGAATTGCTTGGATGGACTTTCAGTACAATTGGATGATATTGTCTCGTTGTACAGCAAGACTGCCAGAGCGATTGAACAATGTGAGCGAGCGACTGTTCTTTTTATCGTTCTGTGTATACGTTCAACTATACCATTACCTTGAGCTCGATGTGCTGCTCGATATTCCAAATTAACATGCCATTCTTCAGCAAAACTTGTTAACGTGTTGGACCGAAATTCGTTGTCCATTAAAAGACATGCTGGCGGACCAAATAAAGAGAATATTTCTTCGAGTCTACTAACAACTTCAGCAGCTGCTTTAGTTACAAGTTTACGCCATATTGTATACCGTGATGGACCACAGTCAATCATTGATAAGTACAGTTCAGCACCTACATGCGTCACGTCAATGGCAACCCGATTCCAATTTTTTTCTACGCTTAGTTGGCCATTCTTTCACTTTACGGAGTAAGGATCAATGGAGTTACACTGGTTACAATTCGCAATTACTGCTGAAACCTCCTTACGTGATACATTCTGATTACTTCGCAAGCAAAGTTGTAATGTTCGAGCAACACCAAAATGACCAATTGAATGAATTTTCCATATGTCTTTTTGTTCAAGTAATCCAGCTGCACACACTGTTCTGCACCATTTTTGAGGGATTCGTGAGAGTCGATCAGCCAAATTTATCTCAGATGGAATCCATTGTACTGCGATCTGAATATCTTTTGCCACTTCCTTAATAGTATTCAATCGTCTTTGTACTAACAATTGAGAAATTCGCCGAGTTTTTACGCGATATTCTTCCTTCAAAACTGCGTTTAACCATCCTACGGTGCTCTTGCTATCACTGTATACTGTTAACTCTTTTATGCCCCACTTACTAGCTAAGTTTAGTCCTCAAAGTATAGAATCCAGTTCACTTATATTGATATGGTGTGTGTCACTCGCCGGCCGTAGCCATGCTGCGTCTTCAACAACTACTCCACCAATGAGCAGAACTACCCCAAGTCCTATAGATGATGCATCACAATAAAGCTCAGCTTTTCCATTAACTGGTACCAGCCATTTTCCACCAACCGGATCCTCTTTTTCCACACGGTAAAGCAACTCTTTCAGTTTTTCTTTACAATCTTCAGAAATAAAATCACACCAAGGTATATTTCCAGCTAAACGTTTGATGTATGAAGCTTGTAAACGCAAACTTCCTGCCACTGGTTAATGTCCAATAAGTTTGCCTAACTGGCTGAATAGCTGTGATCGTGTGACTGCATTTAAAGATTCGAATTGTACCACATTGTCTCGTTTCCATATCAGTTCCCCCTTTTTATTTCTTTCGACTCTCAATCCTAAGACACGTCCTCGTTCAAGATCTTGTGGAGGTTTACATTGTAATCCGAATTTAAGCAGATGCTTCGCTACATTTTTCGCAGTTTCCACACTTTCATCCACAAATATATCATCAATGTAGTTATCACATGTTTTCTTTACGGTTGGATTTAAATTGAGCACATACCGAAGAATTGTGGTCATTATTGTTGGAGCCACATTGATGCCAAAACACATCCTGGTAAAACAATACCGTTGCCCATTTATAATCACCGTTTGATATGGCCAAAGTTTTTTATCAATATGAATTTGGAGGTAGGCTTTTTTAAGATCGAGAATTTTTGCATTTTTTATTTTTCTCCAGCAACGCAGTTTTTCTTGACAAACGTCCGCATTTGCCGTATGACAATTTACAAATTTGTTGAGAGCTCGGAAATCTCCCACTGGACGTACCTTTTTGTCCTTGTTTTCTTGCACTACGCACATAAGCGGTATCAATACTTTTGGTGGTCCCAATATTAGTTCGTTATATGGTACAAGAATACCAGAGTCAATCCATTCACGTATTTCTTTACGGTAACTACGTTCGTGCTCTTGGTTCATCTTGTATTCACAAATGGTATTATCAATTACACGAACTTTATTCCAGTTCCATGATGCCGTCCATTTTTTTACGTCGAACTTTGCTGTGAAGTCCTGATGTTTTATTTCGTTTCTTTCGTTCTCTTTATTTCTTGTTGTATTTTTGACATCACATTTTATTTTTTGTACTTCGTTTTCGCTTTTTCTTGTCGTATTAATAACATCAATTTTTAATTCGTTTAATTCGTTTTCGTTTTTTCTCGTCGTAGTAACGGCACCACATTTCGCTTTGTCACATGCTAACATTCGGACGTTACAGTTTTTATTACCATAAATGATAACTCCTCCAAATTTTTTAATTGCATTCATTCCAAAAATCAAATCAAACCCAAATGGTTTTCCTTTTACAACCAGAGAATTAACCATCCGGTGTATTCCATCAATTTCCAGATTGATTACGATTTCACCCAGCACTTGCACAGTTCCTCCCAAAGTTGTGATAAGTTTTTGACTTTTTAACACAAGCCCATGCGCGGACTCAGCATGAACCACAGTAATGGAGCATCCAGAATCAATTAATGCTGTTCGGAGCCTTCCATTTATTTTCACTTTTAATGATGGCAAGGTCATTTCTGGGAGAATACTGGATGCCATTATTTCCAGATTCTCCCTTTTCCTTTTAAACCTTGCAATCGTTTAAAGCAGTTATTAGCTTGATGATCGTGTGAACAAGTCTTGCATTTTTCTTCGCAGTCCCCTGCAAAATGTCCAAGTTTTCCTCAATTGAAACATTTAACTTTGTTTATGTCGGACGCACCAGACGTCCGTGAAAGTAACGATGTTGCGCCAATCATTACATTCTCGAACCATCTAATTGTTGAGCTTCCTGGGTTACTCGTTCAAGGGTAACAGCTATTTCGACAGCCTTTTCAAAAGTTAGTTCTTCAGATTCCAGTAGTAACCGTTTGATTGTAACACCATCGTTAAAACCCGTAATGAATTGGTCGCGCATTCGATCATCTCTATCCGTGAATTTGCATCCTTCAGCAGCTCTTGTAATCCGTCGTGAAATTCCGTCACATTTTCGTTACTTGCTTTTTTTATAGTTGCAAATTCAAAGCGTAGTATTAACGATGACTTCGGTTTAAAAAGCTTCATGATGTTTTCCTCGATGTCTTCGTAGGTAACTGAGTCATCTTCAGGGTATGCAGGCAAGCATAGATCTTCTAGTGCGGAATAAATCTGTGGTGGCAAACATGTTAATATTATTGTTTTTCTTTTGGATTCGGGTACGTCCATCGCAGTTATGTATGTTCGTAGTTGGCGGACGAACCGCTGATGGTTGCCATCGAATACCGGTGGCATAATGGCCGAAATAGCTTGTTTTACCGTCGCGTCCATTTAATTTAATAACGTTTATAATCTATAGCTTTATATATTCTTTCTAACCACCTATACAAAAATCTTTTCTCTATATATATTAAATTAAAAAGTCCCAGAATATACTGTTAATTACAGTTGAAATAACTTACGTAGATGCGTGACTTTCAACACGCATCTACGTGATTTCTAACACGTAAAATTCACCAACATAATAATACATGCCCTCTTGGTAAATTAACTCATATAAACTGCTAAATAGTTTAATAATGGGTTTTAAAAAACCTATCATTGCATTTTCTATTTGTAAATAAAATATTATGTGCAAATATAATATACGTTAGAAATTTTTACTATATAAGTAATGTTAAATATACAAAATATACAAAAACATAACAAAAATGTCAACAGTTTTTGAAAATTAAATAAAGTTTTAGTAACTTTTATTTATCATTAACATGATAAAAGTTTAATATCTAATTCGAATGTAGAATATAAAGAAATAATGTATTAATTATTAGTACCACAGAATATAATGCCTAAAAACCATTAAATTAAAATTAGATTAAAAATAACATCTTTTTCGATAACGGTTTTTCAACCATTTTAAAAATGCGCAAGTTTTTACTTAGTCATAAGAAATAGATAGTCTGGCCACTTGCGGTATTTCTTTGATCAACTCTTTGTTTGCCTTTTTTTAGCGTCCAGTCCCACGCAGAGTGCACAAAGTTTATTTTCGTCGATTGTTTGTCTATGAATTGCTTGTTAAAATACATCTTCTTCATCGAATTAATTAAATGCCTGGTGCTAATTGTTCTATTTATGGGTGCAGTACTTCTAGGAGGCATAAGGGAGTTTCAATATTTAAAATTCCTGCATCTAGCGATAGTTTTAATACTTCTTGGAGGAAAAATCTAATTGCCATTATACTTAAAGATCGTATTGAAGATTGTAATTTGAAAGCTCAAATAGAAAGTAAATCTCTGTTTATTTGTGAAAAGCGTTATCTTCCAGAAATGATACTTCATAACAATAACAGATAGTCACTAAAACCTGGATCATTACCGACTATGTGCTTACCGAAAAAAGGTTTTATGTCATCGATTCCTGTACAAAGAGAATCTGCTTCTTCTATCATTGCTAAAAGAGATGCTTCAGTGAATTCAAATAATATAATTACCTTCAAGCCTATATATAAATCATATGAAGAATTTACAAATCGTATTAGCAAGTTAAAGATTTGTGAGTGGACAGTGAGTGTGAGTCTTGTTGTGGCAGAATTTAAACTTTATGACACAATTCACCTATGTCCTCGATATGAAATATATGTTGATGACAGTCTTGCTTTTACCATTCGTGTATATTCTTGGCTCATTCCAGATGATCACTCAATATATACAAAATACAGAAGATCAATGCGAAATATTTCAGCTTCAAATCTTATTTCTGTTGTTACTTCTTTTAGCCTTTGCTCTGGAATAACTAATATATTTTCTTTAAAATCAAATCTTTATATTAAACATTGTATTTCTAAAAAGTTCGATTTATTTTCATCTAGGACTGAGTTTCCCTTTGAATCAGACAGAGTATTTTCGATCTCAGTTATGTATTATGCTAATTGATTTGATGTTATCATGTTCTCAATGCAAAAGCATTGAAAAAAGTGAAATCATAAGTTTGAAAAAAAATATTACTAATGCTTGTATCCCTGCTAAATTAAATGCACCAATTAAATTTACATCTCCAGATTGTCTGAAGCTTACATTACAGAGTGTTCGCCTGGAAAATAAAGAATTAAAAACGGAAATAGCTTTAATGAAGCAAGAAATTGAAAATTCATCACTAACTATAAGTAAAGATACTGAAAGTGATTTAGTTAAAATAATGTCAGGAGCTGATAAAAACAAGATTTCTCCATTTATGAACCTGTTTTGGGAGGAGCAGCAAAAATATTTAAAAAGCTCAAAACAAGGAACTCGTTATCATCCAGCAATAATACGTTACTGTTTGGGATTGGCTGCAAAATCACCAGCTGCTTATGAAGCACTAAGATTAAATGATAAAAATAATTCTGGTTTTTTAATTTTACCAAGTCGTAGGCGACTACGTGACTATAAAAATTGTGTGAAACCAAAATTAGGATTTAATAAAAATATAATCACAGAATTAAAAGATATGATCAAAGATTTTCAGCTCAAGAAAAATTTATTGTCCTAGTTCTTGATGAAATGAAAATTCAAGAAATCTTGTTTGGGACAAACATTCTGGAGAGTTAATTGGTTATGTTGATTTAGGTGATCCTAGTGTTAATTTTGCAACATTGCAACAGGCAGACAAGCTTGCTTTTTATGTATTAGTTTTTTTAATAAGAAGTGTTGTAAATCCATTCAAATACAGTTTTGCAAACTTTGCAACTATAAATATTACATCAGTGCAATTATTTCCTCTATTTTGGAAAGCTGTAGGCATTTTAGAAATCTCTGTTGGTTTAAAAGTAGTTGCAGTTACTTGCGATAGAGCATCGTCAAATAGAAAATTTTTTAAAATGCATTTTAATCTGACTGAAAAAGAAGATAGAAATGATAATGTTGATGTGACTTACCGCACTGATAATTTATTTTCTGATGATGGCGATAAAAGATTTATATATTTTATTTCTGATGTCCCTCATTTAATAAAAACAGCAAGGAACAGCCTTTCTCATTCTGGAGCTGGTAAAAGCAATCGCTATATGTGGAATCAGGGTCAACATATTTTATGGTCTCATATAACTGATTTATTTTATGAAGATTTAAAATGTCAGTTGCATGCATGTCCAAAGCTAACTGTTGAACACATCAAAATAACTCCATTTTCAGCTATGAATGTTCGTTTAGCTGCACAAGTTTTAAGTAATTCGTGCAGTACTGCATTAGAAATCTGTGCGCCATCAGATACTTCAGGAACTGCACAGTTTTGCAAATATTTTAATGATTTTTTTGATTGCTTAAATGTTCGTAATAAAAATGATTATATATTAAAACGCAACTCATTTTTGAAACCATTTTCTGATACAAATGATGTTCGATTTACATGGCTAAAAGAAAATTTTTTAAAATATCTTTCTGATTGGTTTTTATCAATTGAATCAAGACCTGGAAAATTTTCAAAAAGTGATAGAAGTAATATGTTTATTACTTGGCAAACCCATGAAGGTTTAAAAATTACAGTTAATTCTATTGTTGAACTTGTGAGTTTTTTAATTAATAGCAATGTAAGTTATGTATTAACTGAAAGGTTTTGCCAGGATCCTTTAGAAAATTACTTCGGACAACAACGATCAATTGGTAAAAGAAAAGATAATCCTTCCTTGTTTGATTTTGGGTTCAATGATAATACCATTCGAAATCAACATATACTTCACCCAATTGCAGGTAACTGTCTAAATATTAATGAATCAAACAGAACAACAATAAAGGAGAGTATGAGTCGTATACCACGCAGAAAATGGACTTACTCTCAAAATTCTATCGATAAGAAAAGTTGATTTTTAATGTGATTTGATAAAAAACTCTCTTATGTCTCCTCGTACTGCTGAAAACAAAAAAATGAATTTGCATAAAAACGGCTATTTTCATAGCCACAAATTTTTTAAAAACATTAAATGGCATATAAATAAAATAAGTTGTTTTTTGTTTGTTTTACTTTTGTTACAATATAAACCTATGCTTTTTATAGAACCTCTAATTTATAAAGATTTATATAAATATTTTACAAAACCTTTAATAACTGCAATTTTATATGGAACCGTAGTTAGGGGTGAAATTCTTAAAGCTTTTCTATTTTTCATAGGTACCACTGCAGGCCAACACCTCTCCTCCAAAACCTGTCATTAGGGCCCCTCAGTTTGAAAACATATTTTGAATATTAGCAATGACATTAGCTCCTCAAGTTTGTTTATGGGCTCTACAATTTTATGGGCCCTAAAATTTTCTACCCACTGATTAAGGGCCTGGGGGAGCCTATATAAATGTATATATATATATATATATATATATATATATATATATATATATATATATATATATATATATATATATATATATATATATATATATATATATATATATATATATAAGGGGCTGTCCATTAATTACGTCAACAAAATAGGGGGGAGGGGGGTCTGAAGTTTTTTGACAGTTGTTGACACGGGGAAGGGGGAAGGTCAAGTAAAGTTGACGTCAACAATGTTTTTGTTTTTAAAAATTTCATTACTTAAAAAACAGAAAATTAGGCGGTATTTTTTTTATTTGAGGGGGGGGGGGGGATAATCAAAAGTTGACGTAATTTTATAGGGGGGGTCTCTAAAAGTTTGACAAATTGTTGACAAGTGGGAGGTAAAAATTTCAAAAAATTTGTTGACGTAATTAATGAACAGCCCCTAAGAGAGATAGAGTTGTTTCTAGGAAAGTGGGGAGGCAACAGGATAATTTTGCCCTAGGCCCTAATGATTTTAGGGACATCAGGCAAAAATCAAGGACATTCTTTATATTTTGAAACACCAAATTTGCCTCTTACTCATCAATAAGGTTGTTGTGTAGAGGCAGGGCTATTATAAGGTATAATACCCCCTCCTCCCACCCCATCTAGATTTGTAGCCAACAAGTTGACAAATTTGGATCTAGATGTCAAATATAAAAATCAAGAACTTTGTTTTTAAGTTAGAAGATATGCTTATTACCCCCACCCCCAAAAAAAAATTATTTGCACACAAATAAATCTGGAACACATGAATAAGTAAGAATAACAAAAAAAACTTTTACTTTGCACCTATTTATTTAGATGTATGGTGTCATAATCTTGACCCAGTTGAGCTGGGAGAGGCCCATTTTATATATAATCTCAGATATAATCTGATTAATACAAGAGATAACTAGAATTTTGACATTTGGGTAAGATTTAATAGGCCAACTAGGATACTTTTTTTTTCTTTTAGGGGACTAACTTAAAAAATTGATTTTGCCTAGCTAATTATATAAAATATTTTGCCCCTGATTATATAAATCTGGCACAAATATACACACTAAATAAACACACACACACACACATACACACACACACACACACACATATATATATATATATATATATATATATATATATATATATATATATATATATATATATATATATATATATATATATATATATATATATATATATATATATATATAGCATTTGTTGTAGGTTGTTCAAACCGAGGTAGGAGGTAGTATCACTAGCGATAGCATCACAATAAAATTATATATATTATATCAGGAGTCTATTAGTCAGTCAGAGCAGAAAGTTAACATGAAAGTTTTTGTTTATTATAAATTTAAAACTATTATGTGTATATTATAATTTTGTACTACTATTTCATAAGAGTCCTTTGGGGTTAAGGTCCTAAATTCCTTATCAATCACTTATTGACACAAACAAATCAAAACATTTGACACAAAAAAAAATCTTTGAAAAAAAAAATATTTTTTATGAAAAATAAATAACAGAGTTACTATGCCAATTATGCTTTTATGAAATTTGTTGCTATGAAAATAGCAGTTTTTGAATGTGATATTTCATTAAACTATTTATTCGAATCCAATAGATGTTTTTTTCATTTTTGAACGGAGTGATTTTGACTTTGTTTGATTTTCTTTAAGTTTGTGGATACTTAGTTTTTCTTTTGCATATGAAAAAGATCTTACTCTAACATAAAGTGTAACTAGATGATAAAACAAGTTTAAAGACAGTTCTTTGGATACTTGATTTGTGCAAAGACTACGAAGTTCAGATATGCTTGCCATAACAACACTGTTTTTTAAAATTTCTGTTACAATCAGTTCTGAATCAATTTTTTTTACAAAACCATTACTTTGTTGGCGAAAGAGAACCTCGACTTTGGTAAAGATCTCTAAAACTGGAGGAGACACTTTCCACAAACCACCGCGATTTTTTGCATTTACAAATTTATGGTAAAACTCAGTGGATGGTTCAGGATCTTTAAAAAATTTTCAATTTTACCAGCATTAAGAAGTGAAAGGCAGTCTGTGCTTAACTTTTGCTGCCATAACCGTGAACTCCGAACTCTGCAATAAAATGTACTGAATACATAGCCACTTAAATACAAGATTATTTCTTTATCTCGATCTGAAAGTTCAAAAGATGATAAATCATTTAAATTTATTAAAGAATTATTGTAAAATGAGTTTGTAAGAAACGCTAAAACATGATTGCATAGTTCACATCCAAGAAGTCTAGTTGTTTTTTTACTTAGATAGTTTATGAAAATATCACAATTAATATCTTTGTAAAATTGAGGATAAAACTTTTCTGCATCACCATTAGCTTGAAAACTGGCTATTGTTGTCTCTAATAAAGATAGGGTTTGTTGTGAAATTTCTAATAGCATTGCATGATTTATTCTCAACTCGTTTCTATACAAATCAGGATAGCATTCGTCGTCAATTAAAGTAGTAATGCTTTTATCAAGCAGACTTTTAAACTCGCTAAGAAGAATAGGGGGTTTAGGATTTTGTAATGTTAAGTCCGAAGGAATACCTTTATGCTGTGAGTTTGTATGCCTTGTTACAAGGTAAGTGTGTAAAAATTTTAAACCATTTATTCATTTAAGTATTATATATGGTTCGAAAGAGCTTTGAATTTATATTAAAATGGTGAAAATTTTATGAAAAACGAACAATTACAAAAAAAGTTATGCTTATTTAAGTAACATTTTTTTTTATGAAGGATTGCTTAGGAAAAATGCAACCATCGTAAAAAACTCGCGTTCGGCCTTTTTTTTAGAATTTTTAAATTAGGGAGTTGGCTCCCCTCCCCACTTTAAAAGCCGTGTCAATTACATCATATAGTTTAACTAAAAACCTACTAAAAAAATATCCAACTAAACAAATGGGTGGGGTGGGTGGGGGGATGTCCACCACTGCTCCCCTTCCTTTTCCCTTCCATAGCCCCATATATCTAATTATATATAAATTCCAACAAACCGCAAAAACTAAAACTATTTTAAAACACACTTCTTTAACAAAAAAATTTCTTTTTTGCTCAGTAATGTTTTTAACAGAATTGTGGCTTTGAAAAAAGCCTAGATTTTGAAGCAAACAAAACTGTGACATCCATAGATAGAAAGAGTCGATTCTTTAGTACGCAAAGGAAACCACATCCAATGATATCTAAAATAAAGTAAAAATTTCTCAAAACTAATATCGCAATACCTATTTAATAAGGATGCCCTATGTCCCGGATAATAAATAATATATAACTGTTATTACTGCATTAATAAACATAATAAACCTCTAAATAAATATGATCTAACCGGTTTAATCTTGATATGAAAAAGATCAACATCCACTGAAGCAACCATGTAGTTTTCATCATGTTGTTTAACCTTGCAATAAGAAAAAATATATCAGATATAAAATTAAAAAAAAAATAAAAATTAAGGCTAACAATTAACTAATGTATAATGAATTAACATTTAACTGTAATTACTGAATTAATAAATATAATCTTGAGGTCTTTAACATAAATATCCACAGTAGCAAATTGCCATTATTGTTAAAACCTTGCAATAAAAAATAAATGAAAATGCATTAGATATTTAGCACCATAACTGAAAAACCCATTAGAGATTACTAAATATAAGAATGATTTATTAAGTTAAAAAATTCAAAATCACTTAACTCCTGATACACAACAAACTTCCCATTACCAAACAAAAAAATCGATAGCAGACCCTTCAATACTGTTTAACCTGAAATATAAAAGATTTGATTAAAAATTATAATGAAGAAAAAGTTATCTGGTCATTACTCTCTGGTAATGGCCAGATAACTTTAAATAAATAATAAATAAAAATTTTAATTTTAAAGGGATTTATTGTAATGGAACACTAACATCTCTCAATCCACGCAAGCGAAACTCTGTTATACTTGATAGAAAAATGCATTGCCATCATTGATAATGATAAACATCAATGATAAACATTAATTGTCATAAGCCAAGCAATTTGCTTATGTCAAAAAGTAAATGAGCTTTGGTTTCCCATAGCACGTTGCAACCAGGTCAACCCTGGTTGTTGGATGTCGGTAACTACCCGACTACCTAAAATTAAACTTCTATATAAATATATGTATATATAAAAACAAATTTAAAAATTATAAATCTTTTCATAATACTACAAAAAAAGGAAGGAATTAGATATATATTAGGCATTGCAAAATTTATTTAAAAAAAAAAAAAAGAAATTCACCTACTATCTGTAAATATTATCTGTTAATGCAAGTTTATAAGACATACTAATACTTAAAATAAAATATACCTTATTATTACACAATTCTGTTATGTTATCACCATATCACCGCTTATTATGTCTGCAGAAAGTTGATATTTGCTCATATCATACTCAACACCGTCATCATCTTCATTTTCATTTGGTTTCCAATAAGAAACTATATATATATCATTGTTCTTCTTTTTAATGCTAACAATTCTGCCGTAATATACCTCATGGGTGTTATTGGCATTATCGAACCACATGTGGCAAATACTTCTTCCAATAGCAGCTCCAATAAGAATTTCTTCAATATCTGAGGCCTCGTTATTTTCTAGGTCAGGAAACATTTCTTTTACCTGATCGGGCATGCAACTTTTTAATATTTTTTCTACCTTTCTGCGGTCTTTGTCCTCCCTTTTCTGAATTTTATCTGCCATTCGTTTTAGCAGTTCTAACTTCAGTTCATTATGACATTGCATACTTGTAAATCGATTTTTCCTGGCATTAGAGATAGCCCATAATATCAACTTGTTTTGAATATCAGTTGGCTTTTTACAAAGCAGAGCAGTTGTTTTATTTTTGCAAGCACGAAGTTTCGAAGAAAGAAAACAAAGAGTAGCATTAGGAGCTTTGTGCTTTGCAGCGCTAAACATACCCATAAGTTCTTCTGAATCAATGTTGTGAAGCCTAGCTGACTTAATCTGGTCTTTAAGAAGATCATTGGAACTCATTTCGAACTGACGCTTGTACTGCCTGTCAATGACGCTAATAACAGCATTAAGACAGTCACCTAATGCTTTACTCATTTCATTAGTTACTGGGCAAAAGCTGATTATTGAATCAAAAACAACATCTTTAATATCATTACCAAAGAAATCAGTTTTTCGTTTAAGTAGAGATAAGGGATTCTTGCTGCTCTCAATAAGAGTGTTTCTAACATCTTTTACTACCTGAATGCCAGATATGTAGTCAAGTCCTGTACCTGGTGCAATATAAAATTTTGTCATCCAAGGGCCAGAAAGTAGCTTTCCAATTAAAGCTAAAACACACAACTCACGGATACCTAAGGTAAATTAGTTAATAAGTAACAAAAAATAAAATTTGTCTTTATTCTTTGTTAATCATGTGTCATTACTATGTTATAAAGATGCATTCTATAACCTATAATATTGTAAATAATAGTGGTATACCTATTTCAGATGTAAAGTCTTGAAACAAACTATTTCGCAGACCTCCACATAACGCCAAGCCAGAACACAGAAATATCTTCAATATGGCATAATGATGGATCAAAATACCACATGTGTGAAAAAGTATATGTAGTCTGTTCCCTCTATAGCGTGGTAGCAATCCTCTGGGCAACTCATGTTGGTCCAAAAAGGTTACAAAACCCTTTGGATCGCCTATGAATAACATAAAGAAAGTCATTTTGGGAATTGCAAGGAGAATATGAATTAAAAACATGCAATAATTATAATATTTATATATTTTTAACTTGTAATTTTATTTACAAAACTACACTATATTAAAGTAAAAGAATGGTTTTAAAACTATATAGGTACCTTTAGCATCCTTGTAACGAAGTTTGTTTAGCTGTACAACAATGTTTGCTGCTATGCAGTCTCTTCCAAAAAGTTTTCCTTTTGAAGTCTCTAATGCTTTAAGTGAAGACTTGCAAGAGCTTGTCATTGTGTCCAAGGGGTGAAGGTGACAGTTAAGTTCATTTAATGATTTCTGCCAAACTAGGTTTAACTTTGAGACTGTTGCATGGTTTGTTGCAACTCTATCACTCATGGTATTTGTTATGTTCCCAATAATAGAGCTTCTTACATCAGTGTATTTAAGCTTATAGAAGTCACTATATAACTTAGCAAGATTATCAACAGATTTTGTAATATGACTCTGATAGTCATAAGCTGTACCTCCAGGAAGTTGATCAATAGCTACAACCATACATACTGATTCGGTTGTTAAGTGCACAGCATTTACATGAACACCCTCCTGGGTTGTTGCATCAAAACCAAGTGTCAGATCTTTCGTTGTAAATGCTATCTCAGCAGTCTGTAAGTCTGAAAGAACACCAAGCTCACGCATCATTTGTTCTACAGTTGTCCGATGTGAAATTTGACTAAATTGATAGCCAGTATGTTCTCTAATTTTATGGAGCAGAGATGGCACACTATGTGTAGGAACTTGGCACACAAGCATGTCATATATAAGTGTTCTGATATCTGCTGAGTAGCATTTTTCATTTTTGGTGTTTTGTGTTACTTGCTGAATATCTTCTAACTTTTCCTGTAAAACCAGTATGTCATTTTGAAGTACAAGAATTGCAGAATTTTTGTCAGCAAGTTGTTGGGATAACATTGTCTTTTGATTAAAAAACTTGGTTTCGGTGAATGTTAACTGTTGTTTTAAATAAAAAATTTGATTTTGAAGTTTTTTTAACTGTATATTTAAAAAATTTTCTTTTAATTTTTTTCTAAGTTGATGAATTATCTTTTCCTTACGAGCAATAACTTGATTTAGATATTTTAATCTGTATGGTCTAGCCTTTGCCTTTTCTCTTAAACCTTTAAGATCTTCTTTATGTTTTCTCTTTTTAACTGCAATTTCGTTTTCCAAAATGGTTAATCTCTTTCTCATAATCTTTTTCCTGGGACTAACCTGGTCAGCTCTCAACCTGGATATTGATTCTTGAGAAGAGTTACTATTTGATAGAGACGAAACAGTAATTTGCTGAGAAAAAAATGAAGAACACGTAGCAATGTGATTAGAGGTCGTGATTAACTGTGATGTTTGAGTCACAGCAGATGTTGTTGGTTGGTATTCAAAGAGCATGTTGCAGATGTCAATAAATTGTTTTGAATTTCGTGAAAAAGCTTTTACAAAGACTTTTGATTTTCTAACTAGTTGCAAAATCTGATTGGGAGAAATGTTGATGTTAAAATACTTACTGATTAGTTCTACAGTTACTTGGTATGAATCATTGTTAGTTGCCAATATATGCAGTACATGTCCATTTCTACAGCCCATATTTAAATGAGCTGGTATTGGAAAATTACAAACTAAATAAGATTTAGCTTTACCATAAAATAGATTTGTTTTCTTTTTAGGTCCCATGATGCACTAAATTAAGTTCAACGATCATAACACTACTTTAATTGTAATTTAATCATTATTAATATTTAATTACTATTTAATTGGGTCAGCAATCAATCACAATTAACTAACTAATAAATTGCCTTTGATCAATAAAAAATTATAGATATATATAATTTTTATGTATCATAAATAATGCTGGTTGGTGGTTATATGGTAAATTATGGGTACAGAAAAAAATTAAGAAAATGCTGTTTTTGTTTGTTATCATTATTTCGCATTTTATTCTGAATCACCATAAAAAAGTGTCATAATTTTTATTTCAGCATTTTAAATTAGATTTAACAGAATTTAGCCTTGAAACTAATTTTGGTGTGTGAAATCATCAATAGTGTTAGTAATATTATTACTAACAACAATAGTGTTAGTAATATTATTACTAACAACTTTTTTTTTTCAATAGATATTTATTAATAATAAAAGGCTATTGAAAAAAAATTGTATACCTTTTTAATGAAAACTATCTATATATCTTATTATTATGAATAAACAATCTAATATACCAAATGCTCACCATCAAATTACGCCCCCCCTCCCCGCCTAAACGGAAATGGAAATACATACCTCCACTGTACAGAAAAATAGGGTGTCTGCGCATGAATATTTTTTAATGAAATTTGGCAGGCACATAGAAAATAGATTTATACTGCTTACTGGAAAATTTTAAAAGTGTAGCAACATGCCTTCAATATTAATGTACCTCCAGAACAGAAACGAAATTTGAAAATCTAATAAAAATCACTAGTAAATGTAAAAAAAAACAACGGAATTTATATCAAGAAGTAACAGTAACATTAACAGAAACAGTTTAATAAAGTGTAACAGTAACAGTAGTTGTAAAAAAGGTGGAAAATGTACCTCCACTAGGTGGCAAAATAGGGTGTCTGCGCATGAATATTATTTAATGAAATTTGGCAGGAACATAGAAAATAGATTTACACAGCTGACTGGAAAATTTTAAATGTGTAGCAACATGCCTTCAATATCAATGCACTTCCAGAACACGAACAAAATTTTAAAGAGCAATAAAATCACTGAAAAACTGTGAAAAAAACGGTCACAGTTTTTTACTTATAAATCGGTGCCGTAAATAGCCAGATACGCACGTACCTACCTTGTAAGGCCTCTTTGAGATATGCATTTCTTAGAGCAAATTGTACAAAAAAATGTGCTTTTAACTGGTTCAATGGACAACTCCAACACCAAGGCGTCTAAATCTTTATTAAAATTTTCGTCTTGAAAGAGGAAATCGTCCTCCAAAGAAAAAAATAGTGTTTCAATATCAAATTCGCTATTTAACTCTATGTCCGTTTCCATATTTTGTGCACTCTGTTCCTGGCCGTTTGACAGTTTTCAAGTGTTTTTAACAAATATTAGAAAAATCAAATAATACGGCCCGAGTGACCAGACTATCTATTTCTTATGACTATGGTTTACGTTAGAAAGTTGATGTCAAAAGTAAAAACGTAAAAAAAGCAACGTTGTTCCAAAGTCGCTCCAACGTTAATCAGACTAACGTTGGTTTTACGTTAAACAACCAACGTTGTTCCAACGTCGTTTTAATGTTAACATTCAAGACTTTAGATGATAACGTTTTACCGACGTTGTTCCAACGTTTGATAGCAAACGTTATAACAACACTGTTATGCCGACGTTGGAACATCGTTGGAATTTAGTTAACTTGCGTCGCGACCAAAATAAAACCAAATGACAACTACGGCTTGACGTCTTTTTCTTACTGGGTGATGTGTTTTGTAGTTCACCAAGTTGCACTTCAATGCTTGCCCATTATGCCAATAATACCAGCATATCTTTCAAGGATACAACTTTATCTTGAAACAATAAAGTTAATTATATTATTAAGAAACTATACAACTAATTACATATTATATTTAGAATTTATGAAAGTAAATACAACAATCACTAATAAAACAGAATAAAGTCAGAGGGGCGCATTTTTAATGATAAAAATATATACTTGCTAATGGATTCATAATATTTTTATGAATTATGAAATTTGCAGGTGTGCATTTAATTTCTGGCACTGAAACAAAACAATTCTTGTTAATGTTTGAGATACAGATTGGACAGTAAAACAAAAAAATTCATAGGTGCTTTACAAAGCAACTGCAGCTGTTTCTATAGTTATGAAATAAAAGAATTTCTAGAGCATGATAAATTTAATGCAGTTCATATAAATATAAGAAGTTTAAAAAAAAATTTTGAAAATCTTTGCAATAGTTTTGAGGAAAATTTAACTCTTTTTAGTGTAATATGCATAACTGAAACTTGGTGTAGTTCTAATGACTCAAGTTTAGATAATAAATTTAAAATACCGGGCTATAATTTGATTTCATTAGGACGGAAAACAAATAAACGCGGCGGTGGTTTAATTATTTATGTAAAAGAAAACCTTCAGTATTATATTAGGCATGACATGAGTATTTCTGATGTCAATAAAGAGGTTTTAACAATTGAAATATTGAACAATAAAACTAAAAACATTGTGATAAGCTGTTGTTATCGCCCACCTACAGGCGAAATTAAAACTTTTAGTACATTTTTACAAGATGATGTTATAAATAAAAGCAACCATGAAAAAAAATTACTTTACATATTAGGTGATCTGAATTTAAATTGCTTTGAGTATCATGTCAAAAAAGACATTAATGGGTTTTATAATGGCCTATTTGAAAACGGAGCAGTTCCTCTAATAAACAAACCAACTAGAATTACTCAAACAACAACTTCCTTAATTGATAACATTATAACCAACGATATTTTTAATAATTCGCTTAAAAAAGGCATTATTAAAAGTGATATATCTGATCACTTCCCTATATTTTTTTCAATTGATATTTATGCGAAAATTATATGTTATGAAAAAAAATCATTTAAAAAACGAATTTTTCATAATAAAAACCTAGAATCTTTTAAATATCAACTATCGTTAATTAATTGGGACATTATAAACTTTTCTGAAGACATTAATTTAATATACAAATCCTTTTTTAAAATTTTTTATGAAATTTATGACATCAATTTTCCCAAAGTAGAAGTAAATTACAAATATAAAAAAATTGTATCGCCATGGATTACCAAAGGTATTCTAAAATCTTCAAAAATTAAGCAAAAACTTTATATTAAATATTTAAAATCAAAAACAACTGAGAGTAAGACTATTTATAAAAATTACGTAAGATTATTTGAACGTCTAAGGAAAAATTCAAAAAAAATATATTTCACTAATTTACTTGAAAAATACAAATTAAACTCAAAACGCACTTGGCAACTAATAAACGAAAATACTGGCAACACTAAAAAAATTTCGCAATCTTTGCCCTCAGTTATTAAAGTAGATGATAATCTTCTTCTTGATCAAAAATCAATTGCTTCTGAATTTAATAAATATTTTGTATCTGTAGGACCAAACCTAGCCGAAAAAATTCCGAACCCTAAAAAATTAATAAAAGCAACATATGACCCTCTAAACTCGTATCTAAATTCTTTTGATTTGTCTTTTGAAGAGTTTGAAAGTGCTTTTAAATTGTTAAAGTCAAATAAAGCAGTTGGTCCTGATGATGTCAACGGAAATATTATTATAAGCTGTTTTGACGTTTTAAAAGACATACTTTTCCAAATTTTACAATGCTCTATTAATCAGGGAGTTTTTCCTGATGATTTAAAAATAGCAAAAATTATTCCTATATTTAAAGAAGGAGAAAAAACTAATGTAAAACACTATCGTCCAATTTCCATTCTCTCTGTTTTTTCTAAAATTTTAGAAAGAATCTTGTACAACAGAATATACAATCACCTTTTAACAAACAAATTATTATATAACATGCAATATGGATTCAAAAAAAATAATTCAACAGAGCATGCAATTATTCAGCTTACAAGAAGTATATCAGACTCATTTAACAATTCTAAATTTACATTGGGAATATTTATTGATTTAGCGAAAGCGTTTGATACAATTGATCATCAAATTCTTATTAAAAAATTAGAATATTATGGTATAATAGGTAATGTTTTAAAATGGTTGAAAAGTTATTTAACTAATCGTAAACAATTTGTTTATGCTGATAAATCATTTTCATCAAGTTTGTTAAATATTACATGTGGAGTTCCTCAAGGATCCATATTAGGACCTCTTCTCTTCCTTATTTATATTAATGATCTATACAAAGCCTCGAATTTAATAACAATTATGTTTGCTGATGACACTAATTTATTTATGTCTCACAAAAGCATTCCTACTTTATTTTATAACGTGAACATCGAGTTATTCAAAATATCTGACTGGTTTAAGACAAACAAACTATCCCTGAACATTGATAAAACTAAATGGATTCTTTTCCATCCTCTTACCAAAAAACATAAACTGCCAATTAACATGCCTCCACTTGTTATTGACAATATACAAATTAAAAAAGTAACAGTAACTAATTTTCTAGGAGTTTGTTTAGATGAAAATCTTACATGGAAAAACCACATTAAAAACTTATCAAGTAAAATTTCAAAAAGTATAGGAATATTGTACAAAGCGAGAAATGTCTTAAATAAACAAACTTTAGTACAATTATATCACTCATTTATTCATTGCCACATAAACTATGCAAACATTGCTTGGGGTAGTGCAAATAAAAACAAACTTAAACCTCTTTATTGTCAGCAGAAGCATGTAGCACGTCTTATATATTTTAAAGACCGTTATACTCATGCCAAGCCTCTTTTATTTGAAATGAAAGTTTTTAATATATACGAGATTAATATTTTTAATATTCTTTGTTTTATGTTTAAATGTAAAACCAATTCATCCCCGATTTCTTTCCATAATTTGTATTCATCAAAAGATAAAAATAAATACATTTTACGTAATAATAATTTTATTAAGCAGCCCAATTTTCAAACAAATCTTTTTAAATTTTGTATTGATTATCGCGGACCATTCTTATGGAACAAAATAGTTTTAAAAAATTTTACTGAGGATTTTATTAATCAAAGTAACTACTTTTCTTTTAAACAAAAGCTTAAAGAACTCATTTTTGCAATCGATGATTTAACAATATACTTCTGATATTTTTTGTGATCTTTATTTTTACTATTTATTTAAACATGAACTTATAAAAAGTATATGTGTATCCTTAACAACTATAATTTACATATATAATTGATAAAACGCATCTTGTATTTATTATGGATTATTTTAAGTTTCTTACTTTTGTTAACTTATTTTTATTTTTTAACCTTGTAATTATCTTTTTAATTTTAACACGAACATTTCTTAGCGGTACTCGACGACAAGATCGTATGGTCTTCTACGAGTCCCCGCGTTCTTTTATTTTCTAATAACGACCATTATATTTATATATAAATTTATTATTATATATTTGTATTTGAAATATTGTAACGAAATGCTTATTTTACATGTAATAAAAGAACAAAAAAAAAAAAAAAATTAAAACAATGTTTCTCCAACAGGGTTCATAGCCAACTATTTATATAAAATTTGAAGACTTTTTTAAAAAGAAAGATGAATTTTCCTGACCATTTTTAACAATGGTTTATATAAAATGTTTAAAATTACTATCTAATGTAATGAAAATGCTAAGATTATACATGCTTTGAATGACAAAACTTACAAAACTTAGCTATTAGTTAAGTTGGATATTAGTATGGATCTTATTATACATGTAAAAAATCTTTATTTTATCTAAAAAAAGTTTGATTTTATTTTATAATTTATCTTTTCTTAAAAATATTTTTTTCAAATAACTTCACTTTTAAAAAAAAGTGTGACTCTTCACGTTTTCAAAATACAGCGTTCGATTGTGAAACGAGTAACTTCTTAACTAGAATTACTGACTTTTCCATAACTATCTAAAAAAAATAACAATTCCCTGACTTTTCCAGGTTTGTCATGACTTTTTGTTGGATTTCAAAGTTGGTGACACCAACTTTGAAACCCAACAAAAAATTTTAGTTACATTCATAAACTTAAATGTTCTCAAAACGACTAAAAAACCTGGCCAGTTTTTCGCAACTAAATATAATTTCGGTGGTCAATATTCAAGAGCGATCACTCCCGCTTCCCGACCAAGCCTGTGGTATAAGCTTTGATATGATGATTGTTATACAAAAAATGTTAATTAACAGTCTGACTTTTTGACCGTAATATATGAAAAAGTCTTTAAAATTGTAAAAGTTAAAGCTATGAATAAAGATTTTCAATCATCAGACATAAAGACTTTTATATGAAAACTTACCATTTAATAAATTTTGTTCATTTAACTTCTACGAACAAACATTGAACTTCTGTAAAGAGTTTGGA